TCATGCTTGTATACTAATACCCCAATACACACGTTAGTCACTTAAATACTGTTGCAGCCCGGAAGGACCTAGAGGTTATTATGCTAAGTGAAATAAGTCAGAGAAAGGCAAATACCATATGATTTTCCTTATATGTGGATTCTAAAAATAAAATAACAAAATTGAAACAATCAGACACAGAGAACATACTGATGATTGTGAGAGGGGTGGGGTGTTGGGGGACTGGGTGTAAAACGTAAAGGGGTTAAGTACAAATTGGTAGTTACAGAATAGCCACAGGGGATATAAAATACAGTGTATAATTATATATGGAGCCAAATGGGTACTGGAAATATCGGGGGAACAAAGTATATAATTATGTAACCAATATGTTGTACATACTAAACTAATCTCTATATAAAAACCCTATTACAACAGAACGACCAGATGACTAGAACAACTGATTGATCAGTCGCTATGGTGACAGAGGGCAGACGCTCAAGGCACTGGTGGTCAGTGCACTCCCACAGCAGGAGCACTGCTCAGCCAGAAGCCGGGCTCACGGCTGGCTGAATGCATCTGCATTGGCGGGAGCCTTTTCTGACTCCGTGGCAGCTCTACCAAATGGCGGCAGCAGGTGCAGTGGGCTGGGTGTGAGCAGCGTGGTGCCTAGCACCAGTTCTGGCTCCTCCCAGGCCACTTGCCCCTTGGTATGCTGCTACATACCTCAGGTGATGTCCGATCGCTGGTTTAGGCCCAATCCCCACAGGCCAGGCTGGGATCGGGCCTAAAACGGTAGTCTGACATTCCCCAAGGGGTCCTGGATTGCAAGAGTGCACAGGCTGGGCTGAGAGACACCACTTCCCCCCTTGTTCACTGGGCCTCTAGTATAAAATAATATTGAAAGTTAATTTAAAAGTTTAAAAAAAAAAATCAGCTGTTGTGGTATCACAGCACCTGAGTTCAAGTCACCCTTACTTAATGGTGGGCCAAGCTCGGGGCGTGTCTCGGTGGTTGAGCATTGACCTAGGAACCAGTAGGTCATAGTTTTAATTCCCTGTCAGGGTGCACATGCTCAGGTTGCGTGCTCAATCCTCAGTGTGGAGCCTGCTGAAGGCAGACAATCAGTAATTCTCTCTCATCCTTGATGTTGGTATCTCTCTCCCCCTTCCCCTTTGAAATCAATAAAAATATATTAAAAAAAAATAGTGGCCAAAAGTAGAAGAACAGTGATGGTGGCAATTTGGATATGTCAAAGAGAAGTGTTAAAGTGCTTCCTTTGAGTGAAAGGTACCTATGTATAGGAAAGTACATAGTATATATAGGGTTTGAATAGCAATTTAGTCAGCCTGCTTTCTTGGTATTTGGGCAGGAGATTAATGCAGCTAATACATTTGTATGTAATTTGCATAATTTAAAATAAACAATATACAGGTTTACATTAGGGTACAGGTTATAGTTGCCTTGGTATCATGGTGTCAAGATTCGGGAGTAGTTTATATTACGTTTGAGGCAAAATTGAGCACCGGTAGTTGTGTGGATTTGTTAGCACACGAAAAGGGCACTTTTTTATTTTATTTTATTTTTTATTTTTTATTGATTTTTCACAGAGAGGAAGGAAGAGGGATAGAGAGCTAGAAATGTCGATGAGAATCATCGATCAGCTGCCTCTTGCACACCCCCTACTGGGGATGTGCTCGCAACCAAGGTACATGCCCTTGACTGGAATCGAACCTAGGACTTTTCAGTCCGCAGGCCGACACTCTATCCACTGAGCCAAACCGGTTTCGGCAAGGGGCAGATTTTTAAAAAAAATGAGTTGACAGTCGAAACCGGTTTGGCTCAGTGGATAGAGCGTCGGCCTGCGGATTGAAAAGTCCCAGGTTCGATTCCGGTCAAGGACATGTACCTTGGTTGTGGGCGCATCCCCGGTCGGGGGTGTGCAGGAGGCAGCTGATCGATGTGTCTCTCTCGTAGATATTTCTGACTGTCTCTCTCCCTCTCTGTAAAAAATCAATAATATATATATATTTTAAGATATTTTTTATTGATTTTTTACAGAGAGGAAGAGAGAGGGATAGAGAGCTAGAAACATCTATGAGAGAGAATCATCGATCAGCTGCCTCCTGCACACCCTCTGCCAGGGATGTGCCCACAACCAAGGCACATGCCCTTGACCGGAATCGAACCCTGGACCTTTCAGAGCCAAATTGGTTTCGGCAATAAAATATATTAAAAAAAAAATGAGTTGACATAGTATGTGCAATTACACAATACTATTTTGAATTTCTTCTGACTATATTCTAAATGACTGTTAATTAAGCATGCTGGTGAACTTATATAGAAACATGTTTCTTTATGGATTTGGCAAAGTCCAGATTTTCTTTTTTTATCAGTATAATTTGGCGCATATAAGTTTATTTGTATTCCTGGGGTTATATTACATTGAAATAAGAGGTAATATGCAGAATAGTTTTCCAGCAGAAACCGGTTTGGCTCAGTGGATAGAGCGTCGGCCTGCAGACTGAAAGGTCCCAGGTGCGATTCCAGTCAAGGGCATGTACCTTGGCTGCGGGCACATCCTCCATAGGGGGTGTGCAGGAGGCAGCTGATAGATGTTTTTAACTTTCTATCCCTCTCCCTTCCTCTCTGTAAAAAAAATCAATAAAATATATTTTTTTAAAAAGAAATGAGCATTTAGATTTATTTCAGGAAAAACTTTGGTATCGCAATCAGTTGTCAAAACCCATCTCTAAATGGATTTTAAACTCTAGGGCAAGCATGTCAAACTCAAGACCTATAGGCCACATGCAGCCCACAATGAATATTTTGGCAGACCAGCCAATATAACTATGTAAGGAATGTTTTAATAAAAATTTTATGACTTAATTTTTATAATATTCTGTTATACATAATTATTAGTAACAAATTGCAACGTTCGCTAATGACTGATTACTAGTAATCATGTTGCATTAATTTCCCTTAATACTCCTTAAGTGCAGATGCACCATTTCTCTCCACTAATACTAGCAATGAATATTTTGGCAGCCGATTGCCACATCATCGGCTAGTTAGTCTTGTACTGACTTGTTTGGTGTGCGCCAACAGGAAATATTTTTATTTCAGAGAAGAAAATTAGGTTTATTTGCATTATGCTTATTGTGCAGTTATTCAGTGTCTGGTAAGTCAGTGTTCAAGAAAAATTATTAATTTTTATTAAAATGTTGTATTGTTTTATGTTAACGATTAATCCTTTCAGCCCTTTGTGTTCAGCATGTCTCTATCGAAATAAACCCACATTTTTATAAAAATTGAAGCTTTTTAAAAAATTTTTTTGTGGCCCACATAAACTTAAACCTTGTTTATTTGGCTTGTTTTTGCCTTTGAGTTTGACATGCTTGCTCTAGGGCAGTGGTTCTCAACCTAATGCCACGACTCTTATTTTTATTTTTTTAAAATATATTTTATTGATTTTGTACAGAGAGGAAGGGAGAGAGATAGTCAGAAACATCGATGAGAGAGAGTCATCGATCAGCTGCCTCTTGCACACCCCCTACTGGGGATATGCCCGCAACCAGGGTACATGCCCTTGACTGGAATCGAACCCGGGACCTTTCAGTCCCCAAGCCGACGCTCTATCCATTGAGCCAAACCGGACCCGGCTAATGCCACGACTCTTAATACAGTTCCTCATGTTGTGGTGACCCCCAACCATAAAATTATTTTCGTTGCTACTTCATAACTGTAATTTTGCTACTGTTAATGAATCGTAATGTAAATATCTGTGTTTTCCGATGGTCTTAGGTGACCCTGCTAGGGTTCTCAACCTAGCGGTTGAGACCCACAGGTTGAGAACAGCTGCTGTAGAGCCTAAGACCATCGGAAAACACAGATATTTACATACGATTCATTAACAGTAGCAACAAAAATAATTTTATGGTTGGGGGTCACTACAACACGAGGAACTATATTAAAGAGTCCTGGCATTAGAAAGGTTGAGAACCCTGCTCTAGGGGAAGAGGATAATTTTCTTGCCTCTATGGTCTAACAGCTTTCTATATGCTAGCTCATCTACAGCTCTGAGAGATACATATCCTCACTTTACAAAAAAGGAAATTGAGGCTTATAAATATATCTAAAACTCTGGAACTAAAATGGGATGACTAATATGGCTAGGTTTTTTGCTTTTTAAAAAAATAATTTTTAGGATATATTTTTATTGATTTGAGAGAAAAAGGGAGAGGGAGAGAGAAACCTCAATGATGAGAATCACTGATCAGTTCCCTCCTGCACGGCCCACAGTGGGGATCAAGCCACAACCTGGGCAAGTGCCCTGCTTGGGAATTGAACTTTAACCTGCTGGTTCATAGATCCATGATCAATCACTGAGACACGTTGGCCAGAATACTATATTTTAATCATATCAGAAATGTTATTTATTTATTTTTAACCTTTGTTGTTGTTGTCATTCTTAATCCTTACCTGAGGGTATTTTGTTCATTGATTTTTTTAGAGAGAGAGGAAGGCGGGGGTGGGGCATTCATTGGCTGTCTCATGCATGCACTGAGACTGGGTCAGGGATCAAGCTTGCAACTGAGGTAATGTCCTTGACCGGAATCGAACCCAGGACCCTTCAGTTTGGATGCCGATGCTGTATTCACTAAGCCAAACTGGCTGGGGCATCATGTAAGAAATTTTATAGTGAAATAAAAGTTTGTATTAATTGGAATGCTTGAATGTTACTACTTTGGTTTAAAAAATAAGAAGTAGAAGTTGGTTTTTCTTGCCCTGGCCGGTGTGGTTCAGTGATCCAGCATACCGATTGCCTGTCATGTACCGGGTTGCAAGAGGCAACCAATCAATGTGTCTCTCTCTCTCCCTTCCACTCTAAATCAATGGAAAAAAATATTCTTGGGTCAGAATTAACAAATATCCTGTGAAATTTGAGTTATTCTGAGAAATTTAATTCTTAAGCATATCAAATAAGTTTTAACTATTTCAAATTTTTTTTTAACCTCTAGGAACGTCAAGGCCGTGGAAAATAAAAGGCAGTTCTGCACAGACCACAGCAACGGTTTCATCCGCATATCCCTAAAGAGGAAAAAAAAAATGACCTTCAAGAAAATTAGGACTTTTTTTCTTAATTTCATTGACTTCAGAGACGATTGCAGAATTGCAGTTTAAGTATTGGAATTTCACAAAAGACATAGGACTTAACTGGAAAGTGGAAAAAAAAAGAAAAAGAAAAAAACTAAAAAAATCCCTCTAGGTAGCTTAGGTGAAAAATGTCCCTTTTATTTTGGTTTTGGTTGTGATTTCAGAGCATTCTGCTTTTTTTTCTTCTTTGTCTTTTTATTATGTTTTCGGATTTTAAAGTCCGTAAGTGCATACAGTTTTCTCTAATTTTTAAACCCTTTCCTCCCCCCCATTTTGACATTTGCACTTGGAGAACACCTGAGTTTTGAAGGTATGGGCCTGCCTCCACCCCAGAAAGGGGGAATTTGGTTTTTCCCTTCCGAACTGGAAGAACATTTTTATGAAGAATTTTTGTGTTGGAGAATTTAACAGTGTTACCCAAGGTTGTGTCTTAAGGGTGGTTCATTTTCTCTGACCCTTTGTTACTCAAAGTAAAGTACTAGGATTCCTAAGAAATGTTCTGTTCTTGTACATTATACTGATTGAGTCAGGATTAATTTTATTTCACAGCTAAGAACAGTGGTAAAAACTTGTTTACAGAAATGCATTTTGGAAGAGAAAAATATTGTAAAATGTGTAGTGAATGTTTCTTCAGTTTCTTGTTCATCCAATGAGGAAAGGGCATTGCCTTTCTTTTTACCATTAATCACTTCTCAATAAACGTGAGATCCTGTTGAGCATCACTCTTAGTACCATTTATTAGTATTTGAGTCTGGTATATTTTATGCAAGATTTGGAGTGTAAGGAGTTTGAAGAAATGAGACATCAACTATTCTAAGAAAATTTGTTGAGGTGAAATAATTCAGGTTTGCTTTTGTACCCAGGGCTAGATAATAATGACCTCTGCAAAGCAAGGTGGGCCAGAATTTAAAATGAGTTATTTCTGGACACTTCCCAGAGAGGGCAGAGCCACTGCTAAGTCATTCAACAAATATTTGATAGTGAGTGCTTCTTAAACGCCAGCCACTGTGCTTTACCTGTAGAAACCTGGAAGAGCCCAGTATCAAGGATGTAAAGGTTTAATCTGAAATACAGGGTTCCATCCACATGGATGCAGGTCCAAGAATAAGAAATTCCAGTGGGTTTGGGTCTTTGTGAACAATATAGTTGTAATGGTAATTGATTAATCTTGTTTATTTTCAAAGGTTTTGGGCTTCTCTGCCTTAAAGATTTTTAGCACATATGTCCCAGTGTTGGGAGTTAAATGTGTAAATCTTCTGTAATAAGAAAGGGTTCTGAAAATGGGTTTTAATACTGTTGGATAGTGTTTTGCCTTTAAATGACTTTTTCATCCTAGTCTACACAGTCCAGGCTACTAAATCAAGGATATGATAAAATTAATAACTGCTGATTTGTAATGAGCATTATAGTTGGCACTTGAGATTGAGAGCTTTTCTCCGCTTATCTGAGACACAGTACAATATACTTGGATAATTTTAATTTTTCAAGGTTTTTGAAATAGTTTCCTTAATATTGTGAAGTCCTTTGTGCTTTCATCCATTTGAAGATGCCCATTTTCCAAATTAGAAATGTGTGTTCAATTTTAGCTCAACTTTCTGTGACTTTCAGAGGACTCCTATGGACTTAATTGTTTAGTATTTCACTTTTGAAAAGCGAAAATATCCTAAGAAAATCAAATTTGAAAGGAATTTTACCTAGATTTTCCTACCTTCTATTCAGGTTGGATGTCCTATCATTCATTCAAGATAATTTTTTTTTTTTCAATTTGAAATGTTTAGTTTAAGCCAGTGCTTCCCAATTTTTTCATGTAACATAGAAAATACTGGTATGGTTTTGGGTGCAAACGGAAAGGGATTTGGATTGGAGCCCCTAGCTCTCCCTAAGAGTTTAGGGAGGTGAGGCTGTGAGGATGTTGGATTTGTGTATTGGAAAACCCCAAAACCATATTGGCATTTTCTGTAGTATAAAAACTAGATTGTATTTACTCCAAGAGTTTGGCCAAAATTGGTTTGGTGAAGACCCCAAAATGCAGCTAAACTAGTTGTGCTATTTGCTAATGAGTTTTGCCAGTGAAATTGTTGACTTTTGACTCTTTGTTCTCAATGCTTTCTTCTGTTGTCATTTGTGACTTTGAATAGCTGTTTACTTTTTTATTGAAGACAAGGGAAAACGGTCTCACCAGGTATGATCCATGTCAGTTCAAAGCCTTTTTTTGTTTTTTTTTTTTTGTTAATCCTCACCGGAGGATGTTTTTCCATTGAATTTTAGAAAGAGTGGAAGGGTTGGGGAGGGAGGGGGCGAGAGAGAAAAATATCGATGTGAGAGACACATTGATTGGTTGCCTCCGGCACTAGGGTTGGGATCAGTTCTGCAACTTGACTGGAATCAAACCAGGTACCTTTCAGTCCACTGGTTGAAGCTCTCACCACTGAGAAAACCAGCTAGGGCAATTCAAAACATTTTTAACCTTTAATATTAACAATGTGTCACATTCACTCAATTTAATCTTAGTTACATTTGATTGGCTATCGTCCCCAAGCATGTTCCATTTTTAAAATCTTATTTTGGAACTAGAAGCCCAGCTCGAAATTGCATGGCCTCGCCCACCCTCTCCTGTCTTGGGTCGTTATGGTGTTAGGGCCACAGTCCTTTTATAACATAGACTAGAGGCCCAGTGCACGAAATTCATGCAAGAGTAGGCCTTCCCCCGGCTGCCAGCACCAGCTTCCCTCTGGCACCTGGGACCCCGGCTTCCCTTGCAGCCCTGGCTTCGTCTAGAAGGTTATCTGGTCTAATTAGCATATTACACTTTTATTATAGATAATTTTAGTCTTTTGCAAAAAGAATATGGAGAGTTCTCATATAACCTTAACTCAGCTTCCTCCAAATGTTAACATTTTACATAACTAATAAATATTGATATAAGTACTATTAACTAATCTACAGATATTATTTGGATTGTGCTAATTGTCCAAGGAATGTCTTCTTTTTTTTCTGGCTCAGCATTCAATCCAGGGTCCCACATGCATTTAGTTGTCTCTAGCCTGTGAGTTCTTCATTTTCCCCTTTTATGATTTTGACTTTTGTGGAGAGTTATTTTATGGACTGCTCCTGGCATTTGTCTGATTTTCTCATTATTAGATTAAGTTACCTTTTTTTTTTTTTTTTTGCAAGAATGTAAAAAGTCATGTATCCTCTTAATGCATTTTATCAGGATATATGATGTCCATGTCTTCCTACTGGTCATGTTAACTTTGACCTTTGGTAGTGTCTGCTGGATTTCTCCGCTATAAAGTTATTAATTTTTCCTTTGTAATTAATAAGTAACTCTTGGAGGGGTACATTTTAAGATTATCAATCTTTGGTTCACTAATTTTGAGACCTTTGAAATGTTATTGTCTCCAAAAAGTAGCATTTTTGCCAAATGTTTATTATTTCTTCTACATTTATACTAATTAGAATGTTTTTTTTTAATTTTTATCCTGACCTGGGGCATGTGGGTATCAAACCTACAACCTAGGTACATGTCCTTTATTAGAATCAAACCCACAACCCTCCAGTCCCAGGCAGGTACTCTTAACCATTGAGCAACACTGGCCAAAGCCTACTCAGAATTTTGTAAGGAGAATCTCTCCTCTTTCCCCTTTTTGTTTATTCAGATATATCAGCATGGACTCAGGGATATTTTATTCTACAGTCAGTGCTATTATTTATTTGGTTGCTCAAACTATCCGGGCTTGGGAGCTCCAAGTTGGCTCTTGTCTTTTTGACTGCCCCTACATTTTTAGGAGCCCTTGCTTTCTGGTACTACAAGATGTTCCTGGATAATTCGGTATTTTCCCTGCCATGCCCCATTTCTCCAAGGAACAAAGGTTCTTTTTTATTGGAGAATATTTAGAAACCATCCCTTGATTTAAGATTTTTAATCTTCACCCAAAGATATTTTTTTCCATTGCTTTTCAGAGAGTAGAAGGGAGAAAAGAGAAAGAAAGAAACATGGATGTGTGAGAGACATCCACTGGTTGCCTCCCGCATATGCCCACGTGTCCTGACCTGGGGTGGGGAGCAAACCGGGAACTGAGGTATGTGTCCTTGATACTGGGGTCCTCAGGCCTGTGCTCTAACCACTGAGAAATACAGGCCAGGGCTTGATTTTTTTTTTTAAGCAGTTTTTTAAATTGCAAGATTAGAAAATAGGTTTTTATTACTGATAGATGGAGGATTATTCAGCCTATTCCAACAACCTAACCACTTTATTTTTTACAGCACTGTCTATGAACCTTTCACTTAGCATAATGCTTCACCTAGCGTGAGACCCATTGAATGCACATTGGCTTGCACCCTTTCATAATTCCCACCTGCAGTTTAGTTAACAGAGAAAAATGTTGGAAGCCCTGGTTTGTATCCCATCTAAACTATTTTATGGGTTCAGGCCTTTTTCTATTTGTGAGAAAATACATAGTCATATACTAAAAATTTTGTTTTTCATTATAGCACTTGAATATTGCCTCTTATTTTGATCTTTATTTGAAAAATGGTTTATTTGAAATGTGCTCTGTGTCATGTAGGACTTTCTGAAAATGAGTGTCCCTAGGATTCAGATCTGATAAAAGTTAGTTCACAATTTTTATTTTTTGCTTTGGGGAAGTGCCCAATTATAACTATCGTTCATCACTAGTGGTTTCTGGGCAGCTGGTGAAACTTCTTAATCCTGAGAAGCCTTTCTTGGGAACAATAATACTTAACTACAGCTGCTGGGCTTACAGGTTGAAAGCTGATGTGGCTGGGGGATAAGCCATCCACAGCCAGGCTAAGTGGATTGGAGGTCCCACAAACCTCAGGTTTCTAGGACTGGTTCTGTAGCCCTGGCAGTGGGGTTGGGGTGGGA